TCACAGGCCTGGAGGTCTAGGAGGGTAAAATGGTTTCCTGGGCTGGGTCCAGGGGTCTCCTGCTCTGTGCAGCCTAGGGGCTTAGTGCCCTGTGTCCCAGGAACTCCACCCATGGCTAAAAGTGGCCAATGTAAAGCTCAGGCTGTTGCTTCAGAGTGTGCAAGCCCCAAGCCTTGGCAGCTTCCATGTGATGTTGGGCCTGCAGGTGCACAGCAGTCAAAAATTGAGACTTGGGAACCTCTGCCTAGATTTCAGAGGATGTAGGGAAAAGCCTGGATGTCCAGGAAGAAGTATGTTACAGAGGCAGAGCCCTCATGGAGAACATGTGCTAGGGCAGTATGGAAGGGAAATGTGGGGTTGGATCCCCCACCCAGAGTCCCCACTGGAGCACTGCCTAGTGGAGCTGTGAGAAGAGAGTCACTGTCCTGCAGACCCCAGAATGATAGATCCACCAACAGCTTGCACCATGCACCTGGAAAAGCTGCAGGCTCTCAATGCCAGCTATGAAAGCAGCCAGAAGGGGGTAAAAAAGTCACAGGGATAAAACCAATGGGAGCCCACCTCTTGTAGCAGCATGACCTGGATGTGACACATGGAGTCAAAGGAGATCATTCATTTTGGAACTTTAAGGTTTAATGACTGCCCTATTGGATTTTGGCCTTGCATGGGGCCTGTAGACCCTTTGTTTTGGCCAATTTGTCCCATTCCTAAGGGGCGTGTTTACCCAACATCTGTACCCCCATTGCATATAGGAAGTAACTAACTTGCTTTGGATTATACAGACTCACAAGCAGAAGGGACTTGTATTGTATCAGATGAGACTTTGGACTTGGACTTTTGTGTTAATGCTGGAATCAGTTAAGACTTTGGGGAACTGTTGGAAGGGCATGATTGTCTTGAAATGTGAGGACATGAGATTTGGGAGGAGCCACAGGCTAACTGATAAGGTTCGGCTCTGTGTCCCCACCCAAATTTCACCTTGAATTGTAATAATTGCCATGTGTCATGGAAGGGACCCAGTGGGAAGTAATTGAATCATGGGGACACTTTCCCCCATGCTGTTCTTGTGACAGTGAGTGACTTCTTATGAGATCTGATGGTTCCATAAGGAGCATCCCCCTGTGCTTGGCACTCATTTTCTCTCCTGCTGCCCTGTGAAGAGGTGCTTTCCGCTATGATAGTAATTTTCCTGAGGCCTCCCTGCCATGCTGAACTGTGAGTCAATTAAATCTATTTCCTTTATAAATTACTCAGTCTTGCATATGTTTTTAGCAGTGTGAGAATGAACTAATCAATGGTCTTGATACATGCACATGCACATTGAGCAAACATGCATGTAGCATATGACCCATGTTCATTTTGTGGTGTAGAGTTAACATTGAAATGTATTACAATTAGAACATATACATCAAAGGTCTTTTCAGGACACAAAGGTACACAAGTGCACAGTCTCTGCAAACTGGCAAGTCAGTCCATGTTTGGTCATCTTCTTATCAGGATAACAATATTGAAATCAGTCTTTTGTCCAATCAAAGCTGTAGCTATGCCTGATTGAAGAGGGGCTCAGTTAATCAGCACCTGTGAGATGGATGAGTTTTGACAGTTTTAATATTGCTTATTTTAAGGTCAGTGCTTGTCTAGCTGCTAGAGATTTAAAAAAATAACTTTGTCACAGTTAGACCATAGTTTATCCTTTTTAAACTTTTATTTTAGGTTCAAGGGTACATGTGCAGGTTTGTTAAATAGTTAAACTCATGTCACAGGGGTTTTGTTGTACAGATTATTTTGTCACCCAGGTACTAACCCTAGTACCCAATGGTTATTTTTTTCTAATCCTCTCCCTCCTCCAACTCTCTACCCTCAGGTAAACCCCAGTGTATATTGTTCCCTTCTTTGTGTCCATAGGTTCTCATCATTTAGATCCTGCTTATAAGTGAGAACATGTGGTATTTGATTTTCTGTTACCGTGTTAGTTTGCTAAGGATAATGGCCTCCAGCTGCATTTATGTTCCCACAAAAGACATAATCTTATTCCTTTTTATGGCTGCATAGTATTCCATGATGTATATGCACCACATTTTCTTTATCCAGTCTACCGTTGATGGGCATTTAGGCTGATTCCATGTCTTTGCCATTGTGAATAGTGCTGCAATGAACATTCACATATATGTGTCTTTATGGTGGAATGATTTATCTTCCTTCATGTATGTACCCAGTAGTGAGATTGGTGGGTTGAATGTAGTTCTGTTTTTGGCTCTTTGAGAAATCACCACACTGCTTTCTACAATGGTTCAACTAATTTATACCCCACCAACAGTGTATAAGCATTCCTTTTGTTCCACAACTTTGCCAGCATGTTATTTTTTGACTTTTTAATAATAGCCATTCTGGCTAGGGGCAGTGGCTCACATCTGTAATCCCAGCACTTTTGGGGGCCAAGGTGGGTAGATCACCTGAGATCTACCTGGCCAACATGACAAAGACCCGTCCCTACTAAAAATATAAAAAGTAGCCGGATGCAGTGGTGGGCACCTGTAATCCCAGCTACTAGAGAGGCTGAGGCAGGAGAATTGCTTGAGCTTGGGAGGCAGAGGTTACAGTGAGCTGAGATTGCGCCACTGCATTCCACCCTGGATGACAGAGTGAGACTCCATCTCAAAAAAAAAAAAAAAAATTAAAAACAAGATAATAGCCATTCTGACTGTTGTGAGACATATCTCATTGTGGTTTTGATTTGCATTTTTCTCATGATCAGTCCTATTAAGCTTTTATTCACGTGATTTTTGGCCACACATATGTCTTCTTCGAAAAAAATCTGCTCATATTATTTGCCTGCTTTTCAACAAGGTTGTTTTTTTCTTGTAAATTTGTTTAAATTCCTTATAGATGCTAGATATTAGACATTTGTCAGATGCATAGTTTGCAAAATTTTCTTTTATTCTATATATTGTCTGTTTACTCTGTTTATAGTTTCTTTTGCTGTACAGAAGCTCTTACATTTAATTAGATTCCATTTTTCAATTTTTGCTTTTGTTATGATTGCTTTTGGCATCTTTGTTATGAAACCTTTGACCATTCCTATGTCCAGGATGGTATTGCCTAAGTTGTCTTCCAGGATCTTTATAGTTTTGGATTTTACATTTAAATCTTTAATTCAGCTTGAGTTGATTTTTGTATATGGTGTAAGGAAGAGGTCTAGTTTCAATCTTCTGCATATGGATAGCCAGTTCTCCCAGCATCATTTATTAATAGGGAGTCCTTCCCCCCATTTCTTGTTTCTGTCAGCTTTGCCAAAGATCAGATAGTTGTAGGTGTACGGCCTTATTTCTGAGCTCTCTATTATGTTCCATTGGTCTGTGTATCTGTTTTTGTATCAATGCCATGCTGCTTTGGTTACTGTAGCCCTGTAGTATGGTTTGAAGCCAGGTAACATGATGCCTCCAGCTTTATTCCTTTTGCTTAAGAATGCCTTGGCTATTGGGGCTCTTTTGTGATTCCATATTAATTTTAGAGTAGATTTTCCTAGTTCTGTGAAGAATGTCATTGGTAATTTGATAGGAATAGCATTAAATCTGTATGTTGCTTTGAGCAGTATGGCCATTTTAATGAAATTAATTATTTTTATCCATGAGCATGAAATGTTTTTTGATTTGTTTGTGTCATCTCAGATTTCTTTGAGAAGTGTTTTATAACCTTAATTGTAGAAATCTTTCACTTTCCTGGTTAGCTGTATTCCTGGGTATTTTACTCTTTTAGTGGCAGTTGTGAATGGGATTGCATTCCTGTTTTGGTGCTCTGGTTGGCAGTTGTTGGTGTATAGGAATACTACTTATTTTTGTACATTGATTTTGTATACTAAAACTTTGCTGAAGTTGTTTATCAGCTGATAGAGCTGTGGGGCTGAGACTATGTTTTTTTAGATATTCATGTTATCTGCAAAAAAAGATAGTTTGACTTACTCTTGCCCTTTATTGTTTTTTCTTTTGCCTAATTCCTCTGGCCTGGACTGGAAGTACTAGAACATTGTTTATTCTTTAAGTGTTGGAGTTCATGACTTAATCCTTGCCTGGCATGGCCCTAGGTCCTGTGTATCATTTAGTATTTTTTTGCCACGAGGAGTCTGTTCTGTCAGTTTGATGATCTCTGTTTTAACAATGCTGATCAGTTGTTGTGTCTAAACCATAAAATGGAGGCAAGGTATAATGAGGTGTGTCTGACCTCCCACCCAGCATGGCCAGGAACTCAGTTTTAAGGTTTTCCTGGGGTCCCCTTGGCCAAGAAGGGGTCTGTTCAGTCAGTGAAGGGCTTAGGATTTTACTTTTGGTTGACAAGCCACACGTCTTTCTCCATACTTTTTGTATGTGTGAAGCAGTCCTCACTTACCTGGCACCCAGGTGTTTCTAATTTAGGGGTTCATCAATTCTGCCCTGTGAGGTTCTGTAGATTCAGCTAGAACTGGCCAGAGCTGCTGAAAGCAGTGTGCATAGCCTTCCTCACAAAGGGCCATTTGTCTGGCCACTAAAGCCACCTTTTGCACTGAACGTGCACTGATTCTGCCTGGATGTCCTTTCTACCAGGTACCGTCTTACCCAAACCACACTTTCAATTTCCCCAGACTACCCTGAGAGCACAGACCTGGGCTTTCTTCCTCTATCCAGAAAACAGTTTTATCTTCCCAGTCAAACTGAAACACAATTGTCTATACTCACGTCACATGTTCCAAAAAAGAGTACCTATCTTAACTGAAAACCTTTGAGTAGTGGGCAGCCTTCTCACATTTGGGTGATGACACTTGGGCTGGAACTGATTAAATTTCTGGTCTGGTGTTGACCATATGGAAAGGGTCACATGAACTTGGCAATGAAAGAATCCCATGGTCTGTTCTGCATTCTGCCGTAATGGAAGGTCCAGGTCCAGTGATTTTTCGTATAAATTTAAGTGCATCTGTACGTCTGTCAGCGTGTGCCTCCACATTTTCTTCATCTATTCCTCCACTAGCGGACACTTAGACTGAATCCACGTGAATCAATGTGAATTGTGGATAGTGCCATTCATAACTGTGAATGGTGCTGCAATAAATATGAGAGTATAGAGAGCTCTCCAGAATACTTATTTCATGTCTACTTACTATAAACCCAGTGGTGGGACTGCCAAATCATATGGTATTTCTCTTTTTAATTTTTTGAGGTGCCTCCATGCTATTTCCCATAATGGCTCTTTACATTCTCACCAACAGTGTAAGGAGCTCCCTTTTCTCCACATCCTTGCTGACATTTGTTATCGCTTGTCTTTTTGATAATAGCCGTTCAAACTGGGAGGAGGTGAAATCTCATTATGGCTTTATTTTGCATTACCCAATGTTTGGTGATGTGGAGCATTTTTCATATACCTGGTAGCCACTTGTATGGCTTCATTGGATAAATGTCTATTCAGGCTTTTGTCTACTTTGTAATCAAGTTATTTTATTTTGTTTTTGTTTATTTTATATCGAGTATTGAGTTCTTTGAATTCCTTACATGTTTTGAATAATCACATGAAGAAGAATAAAATTAGACTCAACTCTCACAACATGTGAAAGTCATTCAGAATGAATTAAAGACTTAAAGATAAGATCCAGAATTATAAAACTACCAGAAGAAAACATAGAGAAAATGCCCCAGGACATTGGTATAAGAAAGACCTCAAAAGCACAGGCAGCAAAAGCACAAATGGATAAATGAGATTACATCAAACTCAAAAGCTTCTGCACAGTAAAGGATACAATCAACAGAATGAAGGGACAGCTTGCAGAATGGGACAAAATATTGTAAACTATATATCTAACAATATACTACATTTCAAACAATAGAAAATCATAGACTCTGGCAGGGATCGTGTAGAGGAATGTCTACTAAGAATTAGTAAAACTAACTTTCAAAGGTAACTTAGTTCCATGAAACTGGTTTCAGAGAGGTATGAAGATAAAGTCTCCCTTCTGTGTTGAGAGTACAGGAGAAAAAACAGAGTCAAAGGAGGCCAAGGGAATCAACCTATCGTTCTACCACATCACATCAGCCATATTTCCTCTCACACACAGTGGTCCAGATGCAGTATTTGTGGCCGAGTATGTCTGCCCACTGTAAATCTCTTTTTCATTGATAATCATGTGCAGATGTCTCACTTATTATTTCATTTATCATTTTCAACTTTCTATGTTAATCTTACAGCACTTTTATAGAATTTGATCGTAAGCTCGCTCAGCTTCCTTTTTCCAGGCTTACATGTCCTCATATTTTGTCATCTGTCTCTCCATCTACTGATCTTTCCCATAAAATAATTATTAACCTTCTTCATTAAAGATTTCTCCAGATCTCCTCTATCTTGCATGAGGTGAGGTCGTGGGTAGAATACTACACAGGGCTCCACGTGCAGGCATAGCAATGGTTATGCAGAAAGAACTTTCAACAAGGAATGAAAGTTGAAACCTACAGAAAATACAACAAAAACCTGGTTTCCTCCAGGGATAGTTAAGGGTAGCATGGGGCACAAATAAATAAATTTGCTATTTTCAAAGTAGGCCTAGGCGTGATCTAGAATAGAAATTTAGAGCTGTAAAGGAACTTAATTGATTTCTGCAGGTCGGGTAGTTGCTTCCGCACATTGTGTGAAGTTACTGCCACCTTGTGGCAATACCTAAGCACTACACTTTCTGACTTTGAATGGCCCAGGAAAATATAATGCATAAGACAACCAGCCCTTTCACTAAAGCGCCTTAAATATTGCCTAACAGCTTATATCTGTATAGAACTATGGCTTATATCATCACTTACACGGTCTCATCTCGCCTTCATAGAAATCATGTGAACGTAGAAACCGTGTTATCCGTATTGCGTGCCTGCGTGCACGCGCGCGCGCGCACACACACACACACACACCCACACAGCAAAAGATGTCATAGGTTTTGCAGTTAGAGTTGAACTTAAAAATCTCTAAATTGTTACATTTGGAGGCTCTCATTTTAGGGGATCCTTGTGTGAGATGCTCCTTTGTTGGTCAATTTTAATCATACAGACATAAGTAAAGGATATATTAATTGCACATAGAGAAAAAAAAATCAGAAATATACACAAAATGCAGATAAGATGGAGACATTCAATGATTTGTCCAATGATATAAAAGCAGGTTTTGTGGGCGGGTAGCTTATGTTGTCATTAGTGGAAGGAAATAGAAGGATAAATAATATTTGAATTTGAAAGAGCGGGTGTATGAATACAAGACTCCCTTGAAGAAAGAATGGTCTGGGACCACAGCAGGCCGGGCACAGGGAGAAGAATGGGCAGGCTATGTGGGAGAACAAAATGACCTACTATCCCAGTTTATTTTTTTCCAGTGCTATGATTTCTTTCCCTTCTCTTCAAATCTTTGGTAAACCGTGTAAATGAGGTTTTGAGAAGTTAAGATTGAAATTCCATGTTCATGTTCGCTGCAATTGAACTGGAGAAGAGAAAAGATGACTAATGGAAGTGGCAGCCCTAAGGGCTGGAACAAGAGATGAAAACAAAGGCTGGGATGGATTTGTGGAATTTGTAACAAACACTTCCTAGGAGTGATTTTTCAGTAAAAGGGGGTAACGAACAAGGCTGGTGTACTAAGTTAGCAAACAAATTCCAGCAGCGTTCCTTGGGGGACTTTCATGCTGAAATGCAACCCCTAGTGTTGGAGGTGGGGCCTGATGGGAGGTGTCTGGATAATGGAGTGGATCCCTCATGAATAGCTTAGTGCCATCCCGTTTCCCTCATCAATAATTCCCAGAAATGCCATGAAAGCAAAGGTCAAATCTTGACTGAGAAAGGGACCGGGCAGATGCGGGACTCCCACGTATACCCCTTTCCTCCTCTTCCGGAAGACATTTTGCCACAAGCATATAACTCAACTTCTGAAAAATACGGTCTTCCTCACTGCAGACACCACGCCAGCATTTTAAATCATCAAGTTGGCTACTTGTGCTCTGTTTCTAGTATGTAGTTTGCCTGTGGCAATAATAAACTCATCTGGAAGAAACAACTTACAGCTATCCAGTTCCTCATCAGTGATGTTATCCAGGCGGGTTAGCAAGAGTCTGCTTATATTTACTCTCCATCTCATGACTTTAGGATCAGCTTATAAGGAATCCAAACTATGTAAGATTATACCACCGAAAGTGATTCAACGTTCAAAATAAAGCAATGTGAGCTGTTACTATTTTTTAAAGGGAAAATAAAATATTTACAGTATACTAAAAGAGATTTTGGTGAAATATAAGAAAGATCTTTTTAAGCAAGCTAGTCCTTCTTCCTGGGAAAGCATCTTCAGAGGGTACACAACACCTCCGGAATTCTTAGAAAATGGGATCCATTTTCCTGATATTTTTAAAACAGAGTTATTCAGGCGTAACTGACATACAACACAATGCACATATTTCAGGGGTACGATTTAAATTTTTTTGACATGTATACAGTAGATAAAGCTCGATTTTTCAATTTCTTCTTTCATGGATCATGTTTTTGGAACCATATTTATGTAGTGTGGATATTTATTTTCTCCAAATCTCATGCTGAAATGTGATTCCCAGTGTTGGAGGTGGGGCTTGACGGGAAGTGCTTGGCTCATTGGGGGTGGATCCCTCAAGAATGGCTCAGTGCCATCCCCTGGTTGATGAGTCAGTTTCCCTCCGAGTCACATAGATCTGGTTATTTAAAGCGTGTAGCACATTGAAGACCTAATGTGACTAGTAACCCATTAGAAGAAAACAGGATAATCTCACTATGTTGAGGTAGGGGAAGGTGTCTTAAGCACACAAGGTACAAGTCAGGAAGGAAAATTTTATTAAATTTGACTGCATGTAAACGCTAAATTTCTTTATAAAAAAGAAAAAATAAACATAACAAATACTTCCAAATCCTGAAAGAAAACATAGGCAATGTATATAATTCAGATTGCGTGTAGAACTACACATTGTCCTATTTGTACAGCACATGTGAAAAATGGACGATAGATACGAATAACCACATTACTGAAATGCCCAACACACATATGAACAGGTGCTCAAAATTACCAGTATTTAGTAATTTTACTTTAAAAGTAGCAACCTATATGGTAGAGGACTTGAGCCAAGAACAAGAAAGGATGTTTATGAACTGAAGATAACTAACTGTGACTTTTAGGGGAGGCTCCCATTGATAATGTTAATAAATTCTGAGTTATTACTTTTAATATGAACTTATTATTTTTTCCTATAGGCAGGTGATAACTAGAGAAACTCCACTTATACATGTAGAATGTATAAGTGAAAATTGAAAGTATTATAAGGAACATTTTCAAAATAAGGAACACATTTCAAATACTTAAAATGATTAAACCACCTGAACGTCTCAGTCTTACCAGTGAAAGAAAAGAAGGAAATTTGTGTTTCCTGAGCATCTATTATATGCTAAACACAATCAACTCAGCATGTTTCCTACTTATCTATAAGAATGCAACCTTCCTATAACCCTATTATGTGCTAACATTCACACATCAATAACAATTTATATATAAGAAAATTGAGACAGCTTTTATCACATAAATATAAAATTTACATTTTACTCCATGATATCTGTTTACTTAAAACATATTTTAAAGTATTTGCTATAGGGTAAAATGTATACCCAAAGAAAATGCAGACAATTGATTTGGTGACTTCATGACCCAGGGGTGTACACACTATAGTTGAGAAGCATGGCCCTGTACCATGCATAATAGCTGACACTGGATAGCACCTTACTGTGTACAAAGTGCTTTCACACAGAGTCTGGAAGACACAAAGAAAAGAAAACCTTGAGAGAGCATATAATTATCTCTGGATGGGGATGATAATTCCTGTCTCTGGGTTGTAAATACACAGCAGGGTATGCCTGATACAAGACAGTTAGCATTTATTATAGTCTCCCAATTACTACATTTTAAATTAGGTGGCATGAGTTACCTGAAACCAAACAGCTAGTAAAAGACAGTACAAATTACTGAATTCAAGTCTTCTGAATCCAGGAGCTCTGCTTTTTCTTATGCCAACTGCGTGCTTATCATACAGAGAGTGTGGAATGATTCCCTGTTTAAAACATTTAAAAAGGAAAGAAAAATAAAACTAGTGTTATTTGCTTCCAAAACACCAACCCTCAGATATATAGTAGTCTTATAATTGAAGCATTAGCAATTCTTTTCTTTGTCAAATCATTTATTTCTTTTCACCTAGAATATTGGCACAGCTTGCTCCTCCACTCTGTTCAGATTTTCTGCTTAATTGTTTTTTTCTAAGCTCAACCTTCAATGAACATATGCTGCAATAGCACATGATACCATTACTCTCTATTATCTCATACCTTTTATATTTCTTCATAGTACTTATCTGCTTGTAATATATAAGCATTATATTATACATGACATTATAGTATAAATGCTATTGCTATTTGTTTATTCTTTAATAGCCAGCCTGCTGAAATAGAAGTGCCTTGTGGTCAAGGATTTGTGTGCTGTTTATTGCTGTATTCCTACCGCCTAGAGTAGTATCTTGCACATAGTAGGTTCTCAATAAACATTTGTTAAATAATATATGTTGAATCAACTCTCTAGGCATCCCATCTAAGACTTCAGCCCTGGGAATCTCTAATTCCCAGGCTCTATTCATCCATATGGCTTGATTACTCAAGAGCCAGAGTTGCCTGAGAATGCATAGAGCAAGTGTCCTCACTGCACATTCTTGAAGAGGGATGTTCAAGCCAGAAATAGCATAGATAAAAAGCAGAATTATAATCAAACCACATCTATCTACTTGTAGAATAATTTCAAAAGAGAGCAAGGTTAAGAAGGCTTTTAAAAATCCAAAGTATTATGCCAAATATATAACATATATATAATAAACGTGGAAAATTTAGAAACTTCCATCTCTGGTGGGAGTAATCCAACTTCCTATGGTTCCACTGTGCAAGTTACTCTAGATTCTAACAGGGAAGTAAAACATGGTGAATTGCAAGGAAACTTCAAGTAATTGAATTTGTGTGAACTTTCAGACTAAGCTGATAGAAAAATGCATGGTTTATTTTAATGTTTCTGCTATTAGTTATTTTTTTCACGGCAATTTAACTTGTGAATCTAATATCTATTTAGACAATAACTGTACTTTTATTCTGGCTATGTCATAATATTCTGCAATTACAAAATCACATAATACTTAAATTACTGCCATAAAGCTAAGAAGAAATAACTTGCCATATTCCAAATTTCTAAAGGATCTTGATCTCTGTTCCCTTCTCTGTTTTGCTCTTTTGTGATTCTTAGGCTGGAATCACATTTTGGCTCTATCAGCCTAAGGAGCAGTTAGCCACCTGTTACTGAGTTAGGGAACAAAAAGACCAAGGCAATAGGTATTTGCACCATTAACTTCTCCCATCTTGTATGTCCATAATTCGGTATTATTATTTTTATTTTTGAGACGTAGTCTCACTCTGTCACCCAGGCTGGAGTACAGTGGCACGAGCTCGGCTCACTGCAAGCTCTGCCTCCCCAGTTCACACCATTCTTGTGCCTCAGCCTCCTGAGTAGCAGGTACTACAGGCACCCGCCACGCCCAGCTAATTTTTTGTATTTTTAGTAAAGACGGGGTTTCACTGTATTTGCCAGGATGGTCTCGATCTCCTGACCTTGTGATCCACCCACCTCGGCCTCCTAAAGTGCTGGGATTACAGGCATGAGCTACTGCGCCCGGCCAATTCTGTATTATTTTGCGTTTCTGACACTCAAGACTTGATACCTTAAACATTCAAACATATAGAAACACTTATTTGTGTGAACAGCAGTTTCTTTCCTTCAACCAAAGATTGTCAATCCTTAATCTAAAACATGAAAGGAAATAAAATTCAAACACCGCTTCTCCATTACTTGTAAATTTTATTTCTCTCTTCTTAATATATTAACACCCAAATTTGAGCAAAAATATTAAGGATGGATGTGGTGACTCACGTCTGTAATCCCAGCACTTTGGGAGGCTGAGGTAGGTAGATTGTTTGAGCTCAGGAGTTCGAGATCAGCCTGGGAAACATGGCACAACTTTATCTCCAAAAGAAAAAAAAAGTTAAGAAATCAAAATTTCAATTAATTTTGCCCTTACTGCTAAGCAAATCTGAGTAAATTATAGATTTTAGATTTGGGGTAAGAATTCCCAAAACCAGCAGGGCGCCATGGCTCATGCCTCTAATCCCAGCACTTTGGGAGGCCGAGGTAGGTGGATCACTTGAGGTCAGGAGTTTGAGACCAGCCTGGCCAACATGGTGAAACCTTGTCTCTACTGAAAATACAAAAATTAGCCAGGCTTGGTGGTGCATGCCTGTAATTCTGGCTACTTAGGAGGCTGAAACAGGAGAATCACTTGCACCCGGGAGGCAGAGTTTGCAGTGAGTCGAGATCATGCCATTGCACTCCAGCCTGGGCAACAGAGCAAGACTCCATCTCAAAAGAAAAAAAAAGTTCCCAAAACCAGATGTTTAGGAGTTCATTATTGACAACAGTAGAGAATCTCATCTTCAATTTTAGCGATAAATTATATCAAGGGAAATTTTGACAGCCAAAAGTGAAGTCCTGAAATGAAACAGAGCAAAGAAATTATCAATCTAGTAAAGATCCTCAAAGAAAGCTTTCTGGAGAATAGTTTTAAATAAAATAAGCAAATAAAGAATGAAGATAGCAGAGATAAAGCCGGAGAAGTAGAAACTATCAATGTTTTTACTCCCTTCAAAAATACTATTGAAACTTAGTACCCAACGCAACAGTGTTGGGAGGTGGGGCCAAACGGGAGGTATTTAGATCATGAGTTTCACTCACATAAACGGATTAATGCCACTCTTAACAGGGGCTTGTGGGGGTGAATTCACCCCATTTGTCATTTGAGGACACAGCAAGAAGGCCTCACCAGTTACTGATGCCTTGAACTTGGACTTCCACCTCAAGAACTGTGAGAAATACATTTCTGTTCTGTATAAATTACCCAGTCTATAGTATTCCATTACAGCAGCACTATACAGACTAAAACAGTGGGAAAGTATGCGTGTCCATTACATGGAGGGTCAGAGA